GGGACTTATCCTTCGATGTTCGGATTTTTTGCACTCAGCTGCCGGCTCAGGGCCACAGGACTCGGAGCGCAAACATCGGCTCTTTTCCCTGGGAAAGAAAACTCACCAGTCCAGGTTCCTGATGTCAGTTTGTAGGGCTCCCCTGGGACTCTCAGGGCAGCACAAGTATGAGGTGGGGGCAGCTCCTGTCTGGGACTTATCCTTCGATGTTCGGATTTTTTGCAGTCAGCTGCCCGCTCAGGGCCACAGGACTCGGAGCGCAAACATCGGCTCTTTTCCCTGGGAAAGAAAACTCACCAGTCCAGGTTCCTGATGTCAGTTTGTAGAGCTCTTTTTGGACTCTCAGGGCAGCACAAGTATGAGGTGGGGGCAGCTCCTGTCTGGGACTTATCCTTCGATGTTCGGATTTTTTGCACTCAGCTGCCCGCTCAGGGCCACAGGACTCGGAGCGCAAACATCGGCTCTTTTCCCTGGGAAAGAAAACTCACCAGTCCAGGTTCCTGATGTCAGTTTGTAGGGCTCCCCTGGGACTGTCAGGGCAGCACAAGTATGAGGTGGGGGCAGCTCCTGTCTGGGACTTATCCTTCGATGTTCGGATTTTTTGCGGTCAGCTGCCGGCTCAGGGCCACAGGACTCGGAGCGCAAACATCGGCTCTTTTCCCTGGGAAAGAAAACTCACCAGTCCAGGTTCCTGATGTCAGTTTGTAGAGCTCTCTTTGGACTGTCAGGGCAGCACAAGTATGAGGTGGGGGCAGCTCCTGTCTGGGACTTATCCTTCGATGTTCGGATTTTTTGCAGTCAGCTGCCGGCTCAGGGCCACAGGACTCGGAGCGCAAACATCGGCTCTTTTCCCTGGGAAAGAAAACTCACCAGTCCAGGTTCCTGATGTCAGTTTGTAGGGCTCCCCTGGGACTCTCAGGGCAGCACAAGTATGAGGTGGGGGCAGCTCCTGTCTGGGACTTATCCTTCGATGTTCGGATTTTTTGCACTCAGCTGCCGGCTCAGGGCCACAGGACTCGGAGCGCAAACATCGGCTCTTTTCCCTGGGAAAGAAAACTCACCAGTCCAGGTTCCTGATGTCAGTTTGTAGGGCTCCCCTGGGACTGTCAGGGCAGCACAAGTATGAGGTGGGGGCAGCTCCTGTCTGGGACTTATCCTTCGATGTTCGGATTTTTTGCGGTCAGCTGCCGGCTCAGGGCCACAGGACTCGGAGCGCAAACATCGGCTCTTTTCCCTGGGAAAGAAAACTCACCAGTCCAGGTTCCTGATGTCAGTTTGTAGGGCTCCCCTGGGACTGTCAGGGCAGCACAAGTATGAGGTGGGGGCAGCTCCTGTCTGGGACTTATCCTTCGATGTTCGGAATTTTTGCAGTCAGCTGCCGGCTCAGGGCCACAGGACTCGGAGCGCAAACATCGGCTCTTTTCCCTGGGAAAGAAAACTCACCAGTCCAGGTTCCTGATGTCAGTTTGTAGAGCTCTTTTTGGACTCTCAGGGCAGCACAAGTATGAGGTGGGGGCAGCTCCTGTCTGGGACTTATCCTTCGATGTTCGGATTTTTTGCGGTCAGCTGCCGGCTCAGGGCCACAGGACTCGGAGCGCAAACATCGGCTCTTTTCCCTGGGAAAGAAAACTCACCAGTCCAGGTTCCTGATGTCAGTTTGTAGGGCTCCCCTGGGACTGTCAGGGCAGCACAAGTATGAGGTGGGGGCAGCTCCTGTCTGGGACTTATCCTTCGATGTTCGGATTTTGTGCGGTCAGCTGCCGGCTCAGGGCCACAGGACTCGGAGCGCAAACATCAGCTCTTTTCCCTGGGAAAGAAAACTCACCAGTCCAGGTTCCTGATGTCAGTTTGTAGGGCTCCCCTGGGACTGTCAGGGCAGCACAAGTATGAGGTGGGGGCAGCTCCTGTCTGGGACTTATCCTTCGATGTTCGGAATTTTTGCAGTCAGCTGCCGGCTCAGGGCCACAGGACTCGGAGCGCAAACATCGGCTCTTTTCCCTGGGAAAGAAAACTCACCAGTCCAGGTTCCTGATGTCAGTTTGTAGGGCTCCCCTGGGACTCTCAGGGCAGCACAAGTATGAGGTGGGGGCAGCTCCTGTCTGGGACTTATCCTTCGATGTTCGGATTTTTTGCGGTCAGCTGCCGGCTCAGGGCCACAGGACTCGGAGCGCAAACATCGGCTCTTTTCCCTGGGAAAGAAAACTCACCAGTCCAGGTTCCTGATGTCAGTTTGTAGGGCTCCCTGGGACTCTCAGGGCAGCACAAGTATGAGGTGGGGGCAGCTCCTGTCTGGGACTTATCCTTCGATGTTCCGATTTTTTGCACTCAGCTGCCCGCTCAGGGCCACAGGACTCGGAGCGCAAACATCGGCTCTTTTCCCTGGGAAAGAAAACTCACCAGTCCAGGTTCCTGATGTCAGTTTGTAGGGCTCCCCTTGGACTCTCAGGGCAGCACAAGTATGAGGTGGGGGCAGCTCCTGTCTGGGACTTATCCTTCGATGTTCGGATTTTTTGCGGTCAGCTGCCGGCTCAGGGCCACAGGACTCGGAGCGCAAACATCGGCTCTTTTCCCTGGGAAAGAAAACTCACCAGTCCAGGTTCCTGATGTCAGTTTGTAGGGCTCCCTTGGGACTCTCAGGGCAGCACAAGTATGAGGTGGGGGCAGCTCCTGTCTGGGACTTATCCTTCGATGTTCCGATTTTTTGCACTCAGCTGCCCGCTCAGGGCCACAGGACTCGGAGCGCAAACATCGGCTCTTTTCCCTGGGAAAGAAAACTCACCAGTCCAGGTTCCTGATGTCAGTTTGTAGAGCTCTTTTTGGACTGTCAGGGCAGCACAAGTATGAGGTGGGGGCAGCTCCTGTCTGGGACTTATCCTTCGATGTTTCGATTTTTTGCAGTCAGCTGCCGGCTCAGGGCCACAGGACTCGGAGCGCAAACATCGGCTCTTTTCCCTGGGAAAGAAAACTCACCAGTCCAGGTTCCTGATGTCAGTTTGTAGGGCTCCCCTGGGACTGTCAGGGCAGCACAAGTATGAGGTGGGGGCAGCTCCTGTCTGGGACTTATCCTTCGATGTTCGGATTTTTTGCAGTCAGCTGCCGGCTCAGGGCCACAGGACTCGGAGGGCAAACATCGGCTCTTTTCCCTGGGAAAGAAAACTCACCAGTCCAGGTTCCTGATGTCAGTTTGTAGGGCTCCCCTGGGACTGTCAGGGCAGCACAAGTATGAGGTGGGGGCAGCTCCTGTCTGGGACTTATCCTTCGATGTTCGGAATTTTTGCAGTCAGCTGCCGGCTCAGGGCCACAGGACTCGGAGCGCAAACATCGGCTCTTTTCCCTGGGAAAGAAAACTCACCAGTCCAGGTTCCTGATGTCAGTTTGTAGGGCTCCCCTGGGACTGTCAGGGCAGCACAAGTATGAGGTGGGGGCAGCTCCTGTCTGGGACTTATCCTTCGATGTTCGGATTTTTTGCGGTCAGCTGCCGGCTCAGGGCCACAGGACTCGGAGCGCAAACATCGGCTCTTTTCCCTGGGAAAGAAAACTCACCAGTCCAGGTTCCTGATGTCAGTTTGTAGGGCTCCCCTGGGACTCTCAGGGCAGCACAAGTATGAGGTGGGGGCAGCTCCTGTCTGGGACTTATCCTTCGATGTTCGGATTTTTTGCGGTCAGCTGCCCGCTCAGGGCCACAGGACTCGGAGCGCAAACATCGGCTCTTTTCCCTGGGAAAAAAAACTCACCAGTCCAGGTTCCTGATGTCAGTTTGTAGGGCTCCCCTGGGACTGTCAGGGCAGCACAAGTATGAGGTGGGGGCAGCTCCTGTCTGGGACTTATCCTTCGATGTTCGGAATTTTTGCAGTCAGCTGCCGGCTCAGGGCCACAGGACTCGGAGCGCAAACATCAGCTCTTTTCCCTGGGAAAGAAAACTCACCAGTCCAGGTTCCTGATGTCAGTTTGTAGGGCTCCCCTGGGACTGTCAGGGCAGCACAAGTATGAGGTGGGGGCAGCTCCTGTCTGGGACTTATCCTTCGATGTTCGGAGTTTTTGCAGTCAGCTGCCGGCTCAGGGCCACAGGACTCGGAGCGCAAACATCAGCTCTTTTCCCTGGGAAAGAAAACTCACCAGTCCAGGTTCCTGATGTCAGTTTGTAGGGCTCCCCTGGGACTCTCAGGGCAGCACAAGTATGAGGTGGGGGCAGCTCCTGTCTGGGACTTATCCTTCGATGTTCGGATTTTTTTGCAGTCAGCTGCCGGCTCACGGCCACAGGACTCGGAGCGCAAACATCAGCTCTTTTCCCTGGGAAAGAAAACTCACCAGTCCAGGTTCCTGATGTCAGTTTGTAGAGCTCGTTTTGGACTCTCAGGGCAGCACAAGTATGAGGTGGGGGCAGCTCCTGTCTGGGACTTATCCT